GGCAATATTTCAACTTGTTAGTGATTTACTAGTTTTGTGCCCCCTTCGCTACTAGAGTTTTATATTAAAAGACAGCATAATATTTATCCTATTTCGTAAAATGCTCAGGAGAGCATTAATTGTTTTTGTGGTTTTTTTCTTTGATTCATTTTTCTTTTAAAATATTTGGGGGGGGGGAGGGGAGTGGGGTGTGCATAGAACACCTACATTATTGAGAACATTCAATATCCCACCCAGCCAGGCCATCAAACTTGCTAGAGATAGGAAGCTTTTTCTCCCCTCGAAGGTACAAGAGGACGGATAAAGTAAAGTAAGAAAGTTCAGGAGAGCCTTAAAATACCCACATCTGTCTCTCAACAGCAGTTGCTTTGAATATCTTCAAAACACTTACTCCGCCTTATCTACCACGATATCGATACCAGACTAATACAGAAATGTGCGCCGTGTCATAAACTATTAGGTCGAATTGAAAACTCAGTTTCGTTCAAAACTGGACAGTATACTGTCTTTTAAAATAAAACTCCAGAACACATGTTTGATCAATTGTGAGGCGGGCTGCTTCGAACCTGACTGTCAAGGACAACACTGGCTTAGCGGTGTTCAACTTTCCAGAGGTCAGACAGAGACAATTAATGTTTCCATTTGCCAGACAAACTCACGTCTTCTGTAAGCAACAGCGAAGAACCTATCCGCTACCCGGATAAAAAAGAGGGAGGGGGTGGCGGCAACAAATAATATTATTGATTCAGTACGTTAATGTTGGTATCTCATTACATGCTTTAACAGTATTGTGATATCTGTATAATAATATTATCTATTTATCTATTCATATTGCTTGTTTTCATTACTAATCTATTTATCAATTAGTCGTTTTATTAATTCCTTTTTTAATTTCCATTCATCTATTGGAAATGAGTTGAGGAGGGGGTGAAGGGTTGAATAAACTCACCATTACCAAGGGGAGAGAAGGAGGGAAAAAGAGGGGGGAAGGGGAGGGGGGAGAAAGAAAGAAAGAAAGAAAGAGAGAGAGAGAGAGAGAGAGAGAGAGAGAGAGAGAGAGAGAGAGAGAGAGAGAGAGAGAGAGAGAGAGAGGGAAACAGACAGACGGAAAGACAGACCGACAGACAGACAAACAGACAAACAGACAGACAGACAGACAGACAGACAGACAGACAGACAGACAGACAGACAGACAAGGAAAACACGTACTCAGAAAGACAGGAACACAGACAGGGGTCAGATACAGGGTGCCAATATTTCCCCTGCGGACAAGAAATCTCGACAAACCACTCCATTCTGAGCAGATGTTTCCTGAATTGGAGTGAACAACTTTTTTATCGACTATTCCGGTCTGCAAGCAACTTAGGGGCAGGAATCATACTAATAATAATATAGAAAGAAATTCTTCAACCAACGCTCACCTCGGACTGATATTTTATTCTCTGCTTTGTCTTGCTCTGTCTATCCTGTTTTGTTCTGTCTATATTATGGGTTATAACACTGTATGTATCATTGTGTGGCACAGGTTTAACTTCCTTTCTTTCAAAATAATGTTTGGGTAATAAAAAAGGCAGCAGCGTCGATAGTAACTTTCGAAGGACTGAGCCAAGTTACTATAAATAAAGAAATGCATGTCAACCTTTTTTTTAGCCATTGTCCACTTTTTCCACCTTTCAGAGGTTAAAATGTTCTAACCGTCTCCAAACATGAATTTCCAAGTGGAGTATTAACCCTATCCGTACGTCGTGTTTTACTATTGTATCCATACGACGTGGGGAACTCTGTGCCACCACTTTCCAAAGAGGAAATTTACTCGTTAATCCGATCCGTAAGCTTTGCATAGCAGTCTGTCAACATGATTTTTTGAGAAATACTGAAAGTTTCAAAGACATCTTCGTACTAGAAGTATTCTAAAATGTGAAGAATACAACCCAGGGGGTACAAAAATGACCCCAGGGCGTACGGTTAATTAGCACCTGCAACTACCTTACTAAACCCCACCGCCCACAGACAATACCAAAAATAACAACGTGTGGGCGATACCGCCATGGATGGCAAGCACTGGTTTAAAGACTTGAAAACTCTCCGAACAAGTTAAATCAAAGAACGCCCAGTTTGATATTGAAACAAGGGTCTTCTTCTTCTTTGCGCCTCCATTGTTGATGCACCTCAATATACGTGTGAACACTTTTGCGTTTCTTTGATTTCTCACAATTTTGTTAAATTTGATGTGGGGGGTTTTTTTAGATGAATATTTTGAGTGACTATATCTCGGGCAACTCTAAACATAGATGAAACGTGAATGTGTTAGATGATGCTGAATTTATTTAGCTTTAAGGGGGGGGGAGGGGCTATACCCCTATAGTCGAGATTCGGCTCAAAATTATGGAATTTGATTTGTAGGCATTTTTAGCTTCCTCAGCCTTTCCTACAACTATTTCATTGCATAAGAATCCCCCAAAACTGTATATTTTTGCCTTACCGGGCATGTTTGTCCCCACCATTTCCTCATAAAGTCAATATTTTATTTTTCTTTATCCGCCGTTTTCTCGAAACGCAACTTTCCTCTATACACTTTTTAATAACTCTACCATTTTCCATGCAATCTTCATGACATTTTCGCAGAATAAAGAAAAGATGTAATATTAAATATTTCCTATTTGATTTCTTAGTATATTGAATAGATTGTTTTTGGTGGTGTCTGGAGTGTGGATGTTCACGGATTTTTTGCAAACTTGAGTGCTACCTAAGAAAAAAATTCATTTCAAAAGTTCTAATTCGTTTAGAAAAAAACAACATACAAATTTTTAGATCTAAGGTTTGTTAGTACGCAAGCAAAAAAAAAACTATCAATTTCCAGGAGCAATAATTTCGGTATTCATTACGTAAGACATGTCAACAAAATCCAATATGGCCGCCGTATCCATGGAAACGATACTTTTTTCTCAAATTTGATTGCGGATTTTAAGACTCCTAACTATGCTTGTTATATGTGGGAAATGTGGTAAAATT